AGCCACTAAACACCAGCCACAGCCACTACAAACCAGATAGCAGCCACTAAACACCAGCCACAGCCACTACAAACCAGATAGCAGCCACTGAACACCAGCCACAGCCACTACAAACCAGATAGCAGCCACTGAACACCAGCCACAGCCACTACAAACCAGATAGCAGCCACTGAACACCAGCCACAGCCACTACAAACCAGATAGCAGCCACTGAACACCAGCCACAGCCACTACAAACCAGATAGCAGCCACTGAACACCAGCTAACAACCACAAACAGCAGATAGCAGCCACGAAGCACCAGTACGCAGGCACTTAAAACCAGCCGCAGCCATTAAACAGCGAGCAGCACCCACTAAATAACAGCTCGCAGCTACCAAACACCAGTTACCAGCTACCAAACACCAACTTGCAGCCACTAAACACCATCTAACAGCTACTGAACACCAGCCGCAGCCAGTAAACACCAACTTGCAGCTACCGAACACCAGCCGCAGCCACTAAACACCTGTCACTAAACACCAGCTCGTAGCCACTAAACACCAGCTGGTAGCCACTATACAACGGCCACCAAACACCAGCGAGTTGGTACTGAATAGCAGCTACAGACACTGAACACCAGCAACAGATGTGCACTCACAGACAAAGGACCGCAGACACACACATACACATACACACACACACATACAGATCTACACACACATTGTCAACATCAGATTATATAGTGGTGGATCCCTATTAATATCGGAGAACCAGAGCCACTGAACAGCGAGATATATTAAACACCCTCTATAACAACAACAGATACAGACACATGATAGCATAGATTCGCACATAGATTTATACAGATCAGAAAACACAAGCACACACATATACACACTCTGTAAATATCTGACTATATTGAGGTGCTCACTGTTAATTCAGACAATATAGCCGTCATTGTAAAATTATATGAACACATACAGACACACAATCACACATATGCATGAACATAGAAACACATACTCGATCACAGTTACGCAGACAGATAAACACACACACCCGCTACAAGTCAAGAGACGCGATTTAGCAGCCAATAAACATTTCCACAGTCACTAAACTCCAGACACGGCCAATAAACAACAGCTGCAAACGCCTACCAGTAAACACCAGCCATAACTACTAAACACCACCACAGCCACGAAACAACAGCGAGCAGCCAATAAACACCAGCCCACAGCCATTCAACAGACTGGGAGAATCAACATCGATTCCACTGGGAAATGTGCAGACCCTCAACACATATCCAATTCATCCAAAATTACTTTTTTTTGTGTGTGTATCTACTCCAGCTCCGGTTATCACAGAGGAAGGCCCCACCCTTCACGGGTTTTATACAGAGAGAGAGAGATAGATAGAGATGGACAACTTCTGAGCAGCCTTTCACGATCTGCTTTTTTCTCAGACTTAAGTTCGGCAGATGTCTGAAGCTTCAGCCTTTAATTTCTGTGGTCCAGTGATCTTACATCTCTGCTGAAGGATCTAATTGCTCTTTGTTTCAGAGGTGTGAACTTCTTTCCTGCAAAATATGGAATGTATTAGGAAGCTGATCTCGATCAGTCCAGCAAAGCTCTGCTTAACCCCAAGGGGCAAGGAAAGGGGGGCTGTAAATTGGGTGGTTGTATGAAAGGTTAGAGGTTTGCGGATGGGTATTTGGAGGAGGGGTTTGGTAAAAGCAAAGTGCTATATCAAGGTCAAGCTATGTGTTTTTTAATAACCTGCATGTTATCTGCATCACATTGAAAAGGTACAACAGAGAATAAGGCGGTACTAGTTAATAGAGCAAAGTTTCCGCAAGTACCCAGCGGTCGGGCCTTCAGCCATTCTGCCCCACTCGCTGGTACTCCATCCCACAGTCCCTCTGCCTCGCCCTCTCCATTGGCTTCTTGAAGACCCATCTCAAGACCCTCCAATAAGACCATGGCTTTCCCCCCTCCCCAATCCCAACCCACAGCTCAGGTCTGACTGTCCAGTGCTTTGGGACATCCTCCCGATGTGAAAGCTGCTGTACAAATGTGATGTTATTCTTGTTCTAACCTTGAGATGTTTAGGTTTTCACCGGTTGCCTTCTTCCTCAGAAGCTGACAAAAGAAACGAGATGGTCATGAACTGTCTCCTCGAGGTATTTGTCCTTCACATTGACGTTGAGGTGAAACCTAAAAGCCACAACAAACCCGCGATTCAATGCCATTCCAGCGCTTGGCTCTCAGTGTCAGAGAACACAGACAATTCATTGAAGGATATTCTGTGAAGACGCGATAAGGCGCTGTACCAAATGCAAGAATTATTATTATTATTGTATTAAATAAGTCATATAAAATGCTATGATCTGGACCGATACAACTTCTGTCATGTTTTAACAGTATAATGTTGAGGTGTTGCTGGATGGCTATTTGATGTCTGTTGGATCAGGATGGAATCTTTTCTAATCCAAAGCGTCCACATCTATTCATTTATTTCCAATGCTGAACATTAGTGCCCTTATGGTTTCCGGAGGTGTTATTTGAAGGCGGCGATATAATCGGTGGAGTCCTGTAGCGGAAGCAGTTAGTGCAAACACTCGTAATTTGAGAGATAACAGTAATAATATTTGCATTTGTTATGGCGCCGCATCACATCTTAAAGCGCAACACAGGATATAGTGTAAAGTGAACTCACTGTGTGTATTGTGGGCAATATATTTGGGTGAGGCCCCAATGTCTGGGCTCTCTGTGGATCAAGTGCGTGGATGACTGTAGTGACGGGATCCGCCTTTGTCATTCGGGTAAAACATTCCAGAATTGTTTGTGTGGGTTATTCATTGGCGTCGGGAGGCCTCAGTGTGAGGTTTAAACGGTCGATGGGTTCAGTCGCCTCTGTCGGTCGGTTGTCTCTCTCTCTCTCTGTGTCTCTCGTCGCCTGACTTTGGCGCCTCTTTTTTTTTCTCTGACTCGGCGGCTGCGCAGTGGTGTCCCTGAGCGCGAGGCCGACGGTTTTTTTTTGAACTCGGCGCCTGCGCAGTGCCGTCTCCGGGCGCGGGGCTGACGGTGTTTCGGGGCGCGGCGCCTGTCTGTCTGAGCGCGAGGCGGGACCGCGGGAGGTGGTGATGGCGGCGGAGACGACGTTCAGTGTCGGTGACAGAGAGAGAGAGTATGAGAATGTGTGAGAGAGTGACAGTGTGAGAGAGTCAGAGAGAAAGAGAGAGTGAGAGTCTGTGTGAGAGAGTGAGAGTGTGTGAGAGAGACTGTGTGAGAGTGTGAGACTGCGAGAGAGTGAGATTGAGAGAGAGAGACTGTGTGAGAGACTGTGTGAGAGAGTGTGAGAGAGAGACTGTGAGATAGTGAGAGACTCTGTGAGAAAGTGAGTGTGAGAGAGAGAGACTGTGTGTGAGAGAGAGACTGTGTGAGAGTGAGAGACTGTGTGAGAGATTGAGTGTGTGAGAGAGTGAGAATGTGTGACAGCGAGAGAGAGTGTGTGAGAGAGTGTGAGACTAAGAGAGTGAGAGTGTGAGAGAGAGAGACTGAGAGAGACTGTGTGAGAGAGTGAGAGTGTGAGAGAGAAACTGTGTGAGAGAGTGAGACTGCGCGAGAGAGAGAGAGACTGTGAGAAAGTGAGAGTGAGAGACTGTGAGAGAGTGAGAGGGTAAGAGGGTGTGAGAGAGTAAGAGTGAGAGAGTGAGTGTGAGAGTGAGAGACTGTGAGAGAGTGAGTGTGTGAGAGAGAGACTGTGAGATAGTGAGCGTGTGAGAGAGAGACTGTGTGAGAGTGTGAGAGAGTGAGAGAGAGAATGTGAGAGAGAATGTGTGAGGGATAGAGAGAGTGAGAGAGAGAGAGAGTGGAAGTGTGTGTTCCTGTGACAATATTATTAAGTTTTGTGGTCCGAACTGATATGACTTCTGTGATGATGTATTGAGGAACATTGAGCGGTTTCGGAGCGGATGATATTCCCGTCTCAGTGAGTGAGTGTTTGACAGAGGGGGAGACAGATTGATTGATACCCAGACTGATAGAAGAGAGACAGCGTGTGAGAGGGTGAGTGAGAAAAGAGGGCGAGTGTGATTGACCGAAATGGTGGACGGAGTGAAAGAGAAAGACGGGCTGGGGAGTGTGTGGGGGGGTGGGGTTGTGGCGACAGCAAGAAACAGAGACAAGGAGGGAGAAAGCAGAGACAGAGTAAAAGAGAATGATTGAGCGTGTGGGAGGAGAAAATGTTTGCGTAAGAGGAGAGTGAAGATGGGGAGTGAGTGATAGAGAGAGGGGAGATAGAGGGAGTGTGAGAAGGGAAAGAGATTGTGAGAGGGCTGTTGTCGTGTGGGGAGAAAGGGTGTGTGAGAGAGAGTAACTGAGATAGGGAGGGAATGTGTGAGAGAAACAAAAGGAGAGGGGGCAGAGAGTGATTGAGGGAGTGATACAGAGAGACTGTGAGAGGAAAGAGATAAAATGAGCGACAAAATCCACAACATTTAACACAATATTTTTAAAAAATGGCATCTCCAATAGGTTTATTTCTTCCTTTCCCGTTTAGTTTTTCAAAAATCCCTGAAGCCAAACTTTGGTACCAAACCCACAAACAAAGAACCATAGAGATGTGCAGCACCGACGAAGAGTATTCAGCGTATGGTGGATGTGGTGGCACATTTATAACAATTCTTTCCGTCCCATTTCCCTGCTCTGTTCCCAAATCTATTTGTAGATAATTCATTCCTTTTAGATATGTAGACATGTTTTGAAAACCAATATGGATTCTGCCTCAAACACCATTCCCGCCAGAGCTTTCCGTAACCCAACAACCAAATGTGTAGGACAACATATTCTCCAAACCTCCTCATTTACTAGTTTGCTATCTCTCTATCTTAAATTGATGCTTTAAGAACTGAACACCGACCAGTGGAACTTTTATAGCACGTAAACATTGAGTTTCTGTTGCAATCTCCAAGGCAACAGGGCGAGGCTATGATTTACTGCCAGACTTTAGCTGCTGGACTGTGACCAGGGTGTGTTATTACTTTTATGGCCCAGAACACTGAAGCTCATCACTGAGAGGCTCGGGAACCAGAGGCAGGAACCGCAGCTCAAGCAGTGGGGAGAGAAGACGGTGAGTCTCTTATTAACTCTGATTGTGGCTGAAACAAAACACTAAAGGTACTCCAGATTTTAAGCACTTGGAATGAGAGGATAGAAGAGTTAGAGTGCGCGTGAGAATTGAGAGGGAGAGGATGGAGGGAAGAATGGTTGACAGAAATACGGGAGAGAATGATAGAGAGAGAGTAGATGAGTTAAAGAGACAGGGAGAGAGAGCGGGAGAAAACTCAGCGTGAGTGAGTGATTGAGAGTTTGAGAAGGAGAGTGTGTGTGTTAGAAGGGGAGAGAGGGTGCGGTAGAGAGATGATGGGGTGAGAGAAAAAACAGAGAGAGTGAATGAAAGTGGGAATAAGCAAAGCGGTGAGAGATTGGCAGTGATTGACTGTACGGCAGAGGCAAAGAAATAGCTATTGAGTGAGGGAGTGTGTGTGAGAATGTGAGTGAAATGTGAGGGGGGAAGTAATTGACAAAGGGGTGAGAGGGAAAGAGGTGGTGAGAGAAAGAAACAGAGACACGGAGACAGAGAGTGAAAGAAAGTGACTAAGATTGTGGGAGGAGAGGATGTTTGTGAAAGAGAGGAAGGAGAAAAGGAGGAGTGAGTTATCGAGAGAGCGAAGACAGAGAGACTGTGTGAGAGATTGAGTGTGTGAGAGAGTGAGAATGTGTGACAGCGAGAGAGTGTGTGAGATAGTGTGAGACTAAGAGAGTGAGAGTGTGAGAGAGAGAGACTGAGAGAGACTGTGTGAGAGAGTGAGAGTGTGAGAGAGAAACTGTGTGAGAGAGTGAGACTGCGCGAGAGAGAGAGAGACTGTGAGAAAGTGAGAGTGAGAGACTGTGAGAGAGTGAGAGGGTAAGAGGGTGTGAGAGAGTAAGAGTGTGTGAGTGAGACTGTGTGAGAGAGTGAGAGACTGTGAGAGATTGTGTGAGAGAGTGAGAGTGAGAGAGAGAATGTGAGAGAGAATGTGTGAGGGATAGAGAGAGTGAGAAAGAGAGTGGAAGTGTGTGTTTCTGTGACAATATTATTAAGTTTTGTGGTCCGAACTGATATGACTTCTGTGATGATGTATTGAGGAACATTGAGCGGTTTCGGAGCGGATGATATTCCCGTCTCAGTGAGTGAGTGTTTGACAGAGGGGGAGATAGATTGATTGATACCCAGACTGATAGAAGAGAGACAGCGTGTGAGAGGGTGAGTGAGAAAAGAGGGCGAGTGTGATTGACAGAAATGGTGGACGGAGTGAAAGAGAAAGACGGGCTGGAGAGTGTGTGGGGGGTGGGGTTGTGGCGACAGCAAGAAACAGAGACAAGGAGGGAGAAAGCAGAGACAGAGTAAAAGAGAATGATTGAGTTTGTGGGAGGAGAATATGTTTGCGTAAGAGGAGAGTGAAGATGGGGAGTGAGTGATAGAGAGAGGGGAGATAGAGGGAGTGTGAGAAGGGAAAGAGATTGTGAGAGGGCTGTTGTCGTGTGGGGAGAAAGGGTGTGTGAGAGAGAGTAACTGAGATAGGGAGGGAATGTGTGAGAGAAACAAAGGAGAGGGGCAGAGAGTGATTGAGGGAGTGATACAGAGAGACTGTGAGAGGAAAGAGATAAAATGAGCGACAAAATCCACAACATTTAACACAATATTTTTAAAAAATGGCATCTCCAATAGGTTTATTTCTTCCTTTCCCGTTTAGTTTTTCAAAAATCCCTGAAGCCAAACTTTGGTACCAAACCCACAAACAAAGAACCATAGAGATGTGCAGCACCGACGAAGAGTATTCAGCTTATGGTGGATGTGGTGGCACATTTATAACAATTCTTTCCGTCCCATTTCCCTGCTCTGTTCCCAAATCTATTTGTAGTTAGTTCATTCCTTTTAGATATGTAGACATGTTTTGAAAACCAATATGGATTCTGCCTCAAACACCATTCCCGCCAGAGTTTTCCGTAACCCAACAACCAAATGTGTAGGACAACATATTCTCCAAACCTCCTCATTTACTAGTTTGCTATCTCTCTATCTTAAATTGATGCTTTAAGAACTGAACCCCGACCAGTGGAACTTTCATAGCAGGTAAACATTGAGTTTCTGTTGAAATCTCCAAGGCAACAGGGCGAGGCTATGATTTACTGCCAGACATTAGCTGCTGGACTGTGACCAGGGTGTGTTATTACTTTTATGGCCCAGAACACTGAAGCTCATCACTGAGAAGCTCGGGAACCAGAGGCAGGAACCGCAGCTCAAGCAGTGGGGAGAGAAGACGGTGAGTCTCTTATTAACTCTGATTGTGGCTGAAACAAAACACTAAAGGTACTCCAGATCGTAAGCACTTGGAATGAGAGGATAGAAGAGTTAGAGTGCGCATGAGAATTGAGAGGGAGAGGATGGAGGGAAGAATGGTTGACAGAAATTCGGGAGAGAATGATCGAGAGAGAGAGAGAGAGAGAGAGAGTAGATGAGTTAAAGAGACAGGGAGAGAGAGGGGGAGAAAAATCAGCGTGAGTGAGTGATTGAGAGTGTGAGAAGGAGAGTGTGTGTGTTAGAGGGGGAGAGAGAGTGCGGTAGAGAGATGACGGGGTGAGAGAAAAAACAGAGAGAGGGAATGAAAGTGGGAATAAGCAAAGCGGTGAGAGATTGGCAGTGATTGACTGTACGGCAGAGGCAAAGATAGCTATTGAGTGAGGGAGTGTGTGTGAGAATGTGAGTCAAATGTGAGGGGGAAAGTAGTTGAGAGAAAGGGTTGAGAGGGAAAGAGGTGGTGAGAGAAAGAAACAGACATCGAGACAGAGAGTGAAAGAAAGTGACTAAGATTGTGGGAGGAGAGAGTGTTTGTGAAAGAGAGGAGGGAGAAAAGGAGGAGTGAGTTATCGAGAGAGCGAAGACAGAGAGACTGTGAGAGGGAAGGGGAGTGTGAGTGGAGGGAGGGCTGGTGTGGGAGAAGAGTGGGATAGAGAGAGAGGAATTGAAAGAACGAAAGAGTGCCTGTGAGACAGAGCGAGAAGGGGAGCCAATGACAGAGAGAGTAAAGAGAGAGTGTGTGAGAAGAAAAACAGAAAATGAGAGAAATTTCATAACATTTAAAGTAATAAAAAACCGGGCGTCTCCAATATGTTTTTCCTTCCTTTACTGATCACTTTTTTAAAAAAACATCCCTGTATCCAATCTTTTGTGCCACATCCACGAACAAAGAAACATTGATATGTGCAGCACAGAAGAAGGTTGGCTGTAGTGGCTGTTCTTATGCCAACCCTTTCAATCCCATTTACATTGCTCTTTTGCCGAATCCTTTTTTAGATAGTTCACTCCATTTAGATCGGTATCTCGTGATGATCTGAAAACCAATCTGGAATCAGCCTCAAACATCATTCCCACCAGTGCTTTCCATAACCCAACAACCAACTGTGCAGGAAAATAAATTCTCCAAACCTCTACATCTGTTTGTTTGCTCACTATCTGAAATTGATGCTTTAGAGATTGAACCCTGACAAGAAGGACGTTTAAATCCTGTAAACTTGAGTATCTGTGGAAATCTCCAAGGGAACAGGGCGAGGCTATGATTTACTGCCAGACATTAGCTGCTGGACTCTGACCAGGGTGTGTTATTACCTATACAGCCCAGAACACTGAAGCCACTTCACTGAGAGGCTCGGGAACCAAAGGCAGGAACCGCAGCTCAGTCAGCGGGGAGACAAGACGGTGAGTCTCTTATTAGATCTGATTGTGGCTGAAATAATGTCATACTATTATCCCAGGTTGTAAGCGCACAGAGAGAAAAACCCATATAAATGCAAGTTGTTGTTGCTCGGGCAACATTTATTGTAATTAAGGAAACCAGGAGTAACTGAACGAGCAAGAGTTAAATTATAATTTGTTTCATAAACGGAAGATCTCGCTTTACGACTGTGTTTACGGTCACCTCTTCCTTCCCTCACACATAGTGTCCTCCACCACTCCAACATTCTCCGACACACTGTCCGGCGTGTAGGCCGCTATATCAATGCAAGTTGTTGCTGTTATTTGAATTAATCATCGAAGAATGGCTTAAGAAATAAATGGTCTCCGAAATCCATTGGGGAACTTGATTGAACGGAAACATTGTTAACATATTAATGTGCAATTTAATCAACAGCCAGGCGCTCGGACCAAAACTGAGCTGTACTTTATATGCATCTATGAATGCAAGAGCCTCAGCTTGTTTCAACCTTGCTCATAGTTCATTCCTCTAACACTGGTGATCATACTGGTTGTTCTCCTCTGCACTAAATTAAGGATCTGTGCTGACGCTTTTGTCAGTCATTGCCTCAATCCTTCCATCTTGCGGTTTTGGTTGGTTGGACTCCAGCAGTTACTCAGCTTTGTTTTGGATCATGTTCGGTTTGTTGATCGGGTTTCGGTGGGACAGACACTCGGCTGACAAAAAAATTTCAGCTCAGATACCACACTGCTGCTTACATGCTCCAAGCTGCAACCCACTAGAAGGGCACTCTATAGTTGTTGTTGGCATTGTTTTTATTTCCTCCTCTGAGACGTCTCTTTTGTTTGGCGCTGTTTGTCCTACGATAGTTTAAAATTCATCCCTCCAATTTGAGAGATCAGTCTTCTCCGAATATGGAGACGCTGTAGAGGAGCTGGGGTATTGATGAATGGTTCTCACTTTCTTTTACCTTGTAGGAAGTAAGACTAAAGTATGTTTCAGTCTGCAATGAAACGGACTGAATGCCGCCATTTTATTTCTCTTTCTCCGGAAGTGGAAATGATTTTTGACAAAATGGTGCTCAAGTTGTTGACTTTCAAGGACTTTCTTCTCGGTCCCAAGTCCGGAGCCCAACCCACAGTTACATTAACTGGAAATATCCATAAAAGGCAACATTGCATATTGGCAATGATACCGTTTCACTGACTGTTACACAAGTGAGGTTCAAAGATCAGGATCAGGAGATTAGATAGAGAGCCCAGTGAATGCTCTGAATTGGGCGGGTTGTTAAAATGAATCTAAGGTAAGTTTGAAGTGGGAAGTGGCAAAGTCACGTTGGTGTTAGTCTGATGATGGATGTGAAAATAGATTCCCAACTATTGCTCTGCAGCATACTGTAGAGTTTCTGAAGACGAGCTTTATTGGTGACACTCTCTCAAATGGATAATTACCAGAACTCGTCACTCATCTTCTTGTTGTATTAACTTACGCAACAACAAATGCTTTATATAGTGCAAATGGTGCAGCGTATAATCACAGAGAAATTGACAGAATGTGAAAGAGAAGTGAATCGAGATAAATTGAGAAAGAACAACAGAATAGAGGAGAGAGGGAGAGTGTGCTTCAGAAATGAGACAGTCCGATTTACAGAAATGGCGGAGCGTGTGTTGGAGAAAGGATGGGCATGCGAGAAAGAAACAGATTCAGGGAGAGAGCGATTGGGAAAGCAGTGAGTGACTGAGTGAGTGAGATTATGAGACGGAGTGTGTGTGAGAGTGGTGGAGAGGGGCACTGATGGAGAATGATTGTGAGAGAATGAGAGAAGAGAGTGTGTGTGGGTAAGAGAGTGAGTAAGAAATGAGAGAGACAGTGTGGGGAGAGGGTGGATGGACATGGAGTAAAGAGAGAGATAGAGTGAGTGTGTAGTGAGATAATGAAACAGAGAAGTTTCGGGAACGGAAGAAAGAAAGAGGTGATAGAGTGAGTGTTTAACAGCGGGGGAGACAGATTGATTGATACTCAGACTGATAGAAGAAAGACAGAGTGTGAGAGTGATTGATAGAAAGGGTGGATGGAGTGAAAGAGAAGGACGAGCTGGGGAGGGTGGGGCGAGAGTAAGAGACAGAGAGGGAGAAAGCAGAGAGAGAGTGAAAGGGAATGATTGAGAGTGTGGGAGGAGAAAGTTTTTGCGAAAGAGGAGAGTGAAGAGGGGGAGTGAGTGACAGAGAGATGGGAGATAGAGAGAGTGTGAGAGGGGAAAGAGACTGAGAGAGGGATGATGTCGTGTGGGGAGAACGGGTGTGTGTGAGAGAGAGTAACTGAGGGAGGGAGGCAACGTGTGAGAGAAACAAAGGGAGAGGGGGAATAGAGTGATTGAGAGAGTGATACAGAGAGAGTGTGAGGGGAAAGAGAGAAAATGAGCGACAAAATCCACAACATTTACCACAATATTAAAAAAATTGGCATCTCCAATAAGTTTATTTCTTCCTTTCCCATTCGGTATTTTGAAAATCCCTGAAGCCAAACTTTTGTTCCACACCCACAAACAAAGAACCATAGAGATGTACAGCACAAACGAAGATTATTCAGCTTATGGTGGATGTGATGGCACTTTTTGATAACAATCCTTTCAGTCCCATTTCCTTGCTCTGTTCCCAAATGCATTTGTAGATAGTTCATTCCTTTTAGATCTATATCTGGATATGTTTTGAAAGCCAATATAGATTCTGCCTCAAACACCATTCCCGCCAGGGTTTCCATAACCCAACAACCAAATGTGCAGGACAACATAGTCTCCAAACCTCCTCATTTGCTAATTTGCTATCTCTCTATCTTACATTGATGCTTTAAGAACTGAACCCCGACCAGTGGAACTTTTAGAGCAGGTAAACATTAAGTTTCTCTGGCAATCTCCAAGGGAACAGGGCGAGGCTATGATTTACTGCCAGGCATTAGCTGTGGACTCTGACCAGGGTGTGTTATTCCTGTACAGCCCAGAACACTGAAGCACATCACTGAGAGGCTCGGGAACCAGAGGCAGGAACCGCAGCTCAGTCAGCTGGGGAGACAAGACGGTGAGTCTCTCATTTGCTCTGATTGTGACTGAAATAAGGCAGTAAAGTTACTTCAGGTTTTTAGCACTTGGAATGATAGGAGAAGGAGAGATAAAGTGCGCGAGAAATGATTGGGAGACAGACGGTTGGACGGTGGAGTGCTTGACAGAAATGGGGGAGAGAGTGATAGAAAGGGCGTGGGTGGGGGAGTGAAACGACACCGAGAGAGAGAGAGACAGCGGACTGTGAGTGAGTGATTGAGTGTTTGGGAAAGAGTGTGTGTATGTTAGGGGAGGTGTAGAGAGCGAATGGTGGAGAGTGGATTTGTTGAGAGAAAGAAGCAGAGAGAGTGGGAGGAAGCAGAGCAGTGAGAGAGTGGCAGTGAGTGACTTTATGGCAGAGGGGTAGAGAAATTTGTTAAGAGTGAGAGTGTGTGTAAGAATATGAGTGGAAAAGTCATTGACGGAAAGGGGTGAGAGAGTGTTGAAGTGGTGAGAGAAAGAAAGAGAGACAGGGAGAAAGCAGAGACACGGAGTGAAAGAAAGTGACTGACATTGTGGGAGGAGAGAGTGTGAATGAAAGGGGCGAGTGAGTGATCGAGAGAGTGGAGATAGAGAGACTGTGAGAGGGGAAAGAGAGTGTCAGTGGAGGGATAGGCGTGTGTGAGAAAAGGGGGGATAGAGAGGGAGAGAGAGAGAGGAATTGAGAGAGCGAAAGAGTGTCTGTGAGACAGAGCGAGAAGGGGAGCCAATGACTGAGAGAGGAGAGGCAAGAAAGTGTAAAAGAGGGAAAGTGGGAAAGAAGGAAAAGGGAAATGAGAGAAAATCCACAACATTTAAAACAACATAAAAAACGATTGTCCCCAATATTTTTTTTTCGGACCTTTCCCGATTAGGTTTTCGAAAAATCTCAGAAGGCAACGTTTTGTACCACCCCCACAAACAAACAACCATAGAGATGTACAGCACAGAAGAAGGTTATTCGGTTTATGGTCACAGTGGTGGCACTTTTTATAACAATCCTTTCCGTCCCATTTCCCTGCTCTGTTCGCAAATCGCGCTTTAGACAGTTCACTCCTTTCAGATTGATATCTGGACATATTTTGAAAGCCCACATGGATTTTGCCTGAAATATCCCTCCCACCAGGGCTTTCCATAACCAAACAAACACCTGTGCAGGNAAAAAAATCACCAAACTTCTTCATATGCTCGTTCGTTAACGATCTTAAATTGGTGCTTTAGCCACTTAATCTCGAACAGTGACACTTTTATAGCTGATAAGCATTTATTTTCTGTGGAAATCTCCAAGGGAACAGGGCGAGGCTGTGATTTACTGCCCGCCGTTAGTTGCTGGACTCTGACCAGTGTGTGTTATTACATGTACAGCTCAGAGCACTGAAGCCACATCACTGAGAGGCTCGGGAACCAGAGGCAGGAACCGGAGCTCAGTCAGCGGGGAGACAAGACGGTGAGTCTCTTATTTATACTGATTGTGGCTGAAATAAAGCAGGAAAGTTATTGCAGGTTTTAAACGCAGGGAAATGCCACTCCATGCGAACAGCACAAGATAAATGCAACTTATTGTTTGGTAGTTAGTGAAAGTTTACTGATATTAAATAACCCCGGAGCCAGTGATCGTGGAATCATTTAAATTTAATTTGCTTAATTATTTTAACTAACCATCGTGACATCGTTACGAGAAATGTAGGGAGAAATGTTCTTTGACATCTACTCATGAATTTGATTGATCCGAAATATTGTTGATCAACGATGGGCCCTCGTGTGGAATATGAGCACCAGCCAGACTGGACGGGCTGAATGGCTTTTTCCTGAGCTTGTTTAATCCTTGCTGGTAGATGGTTCCTCTAAAAGTAGCCATGATCCTCCTTGCTCTCCTCTACACTGCCTTAAGGAGCTGGGCAGATGCTTTTGTCAACCATTACCTCAATCGTTCCACCTTGCTCTTTGTGGAGTTAGTCTCCAGCTATTACCCCAAAACACATTCTGCGCTCTCACAAGCCTTGGCTCTTGCCAATCTGTGCCGAGCACTTTCCAGCAGTAGAAGGATGGACACTCCACAGAGAGGTTGCTCATTCCATCTACAATCGATCGCTGTAGTGTCCACGTATAGGTGGGAAGCATGGTCATCTCAGCTTTGTTTGGATACTGTTTGGTTTGTTGATGGGTTTTCGAGCTGACAAAAGTAATATTCATCAGAGACTACACTGCAGTTTAAGTGCTCTAAGATGCCAAACATGTGAAGGAGCCTGTACTGTTATTATTGCTACTGTTTTGTTGACTTCTCTGAGATGTCCCTTTTTATGGCTGAAGCTCCACAGAATGTCTAATTTTGTTTATCCCTGTAACTCAGAGTTTCACTCTCTTGTGGATCTGGAGATGCTGAAGAGAAGCTGGACCTTTCTGAATGTTGCTCGTTAGCTTTCATTATGTGGGGAATCAGATTTAATGCTCAATCTTAATCTTCCCGACTGAATTGCCTCCATATTCGTTCTCTTTTCCCATAAGTAGATATGATTTTGTTAAGATGGCTCTCATGGTATTGACTTTTAAGGAGTCGAATGTAGCTTGCCTAATCTTTTTGGTCCCAAGTCTGGAATCTAACGCCCAGTTTTATTACCTGAAAATATCCATCAAAGGCACCATTTCCTGTTTGCTTTGATACGTTTCACTGACTGTTACATAAATGAGGGTTCAAAGAGCACGAACAGGAGATTGAAGTACTGAACACAGTGGAATTAGGCAGTTTATTGAAATATATCCAAGGGAAGGTTGAAGTTGCACGTGATACTCTCACTCTGGTGTTAGTCCCATGATGGATAGGAAGGCGAGTGTAAGAGGAAGAGGAATAGATACAGCAATAATTTGCATTTGTACAGCACCCGAACGCAGGGCAGAATCCCAAAGCTCTATAACCATACCTGGATCTAAAAGATATATAGTGTAAGAGGAACTGTATAGGGTGGAGTGAATAGTTTTATTGCTCAAATTAAGAGATTAATAAAGAAATTCAGCACCACTTGCACGTTACAGGGCAATGTACAACTCGTTGCAGCGTGGCTCAGTGCTCGCACTCTCTCACCTGTGTCAGAAGGGTGGGTTTAACCACAAATCTGGACCGGAAATAACATGACCTAAGATGAGAATCCAATACCTTACTTGGGGTGTTTGCATTTTCAGAGGTCCCATGCCAAACGACACCGGAGTAGAGTTCGAGCCCTGGAAAAGATGAGATGAAAGCTTGTCAACTGATGTTCGGGTGCATCAGGCATGGGAGAAAAAGAATAAATGAGCCAGGATGGTGAGAGCAGCTTGGGCAATGGGGTTTAAAAATGTCACAGAGATAGAATGTGCGAGCCACGCAAAGATGTAAACAAGGGGACACGGATATGAATTGAATCTGTAAGAGAAGCTTTCTAAACAGTGTTCTCAAGGCAAGTCACACATTTTGAGCTTGTTAAACTCCATCAATATCTGCTATCCATAAGCGTACACAATGAGGTCCTCACGCTTCCACTCTTGCCAATGTGCATCTAATGCTTTCAGGTATAAGGCTGAAAGTAGATATGCCTCTGGGACATTCCATTCTAAGCGAAGCTTATTTGATGTGTTGGTGGGCGGAAGCATTCTTAGTCTGATTTGGATACCCTTAATCACGGTGTTCGGTTTGTACATGTGCCAGACATCCGGCAACCAAATAAAATGCTACAGGATCGAGTGGAGCGACAGATTGATGGTAATACAAAACAAAATCACATTTTTATAGCGCCTTTCATGTTGGGAGGACATAATGATAGATATATGGAGACTGGTGTAGGATCGCTAACAAGCTGCAGTTTTGTATTTTCTGCAGTTTGAGTAGAGACCGTGTTTGAATGCCATTGAGTAAGTGATTCATATAGTCTGGCCCCAACATAATAAAGTTGTATATATGTTTTTGGTCACCCCAGGGGAGGGGGGTTTAAGATGTGTAGCTGCAGGCAAGCAATATTATAGAGGTGACGAAAGCCAAGAGTGGGTGAGAGCCAGGTTACATGGATTAAAGGACAGTTAAAGTGGAATAAGATAATGTTCTTCTAATTGGCTCAGCACGGTGAACTTGGCTTTGATGCAGATTGATGCCGTCAATACCTAGGGCGAGAAGACACTATCAGGGCTCAAACAAGTGAGCCTCTCTCTTGACAAAAATCAACTGAAGATAGATGGAGATCAATCAGCATTTGCTGTCTTACAGTCACAGCAGCAATGGTACTCGAGTCTAGGGTGGAGGATAGAGTTATGTTTCCTCCACATCATATGGCAGTGCAACCCATGGCTCAGGAATATGTCAACAAAGGGGAGCATGTAGATTGTGAAAAGTAGAAATCTCAGGAAGGGGCTCTGATGTGATTGTGTGGAGGCAGGAGGAAAAGCTGTTAGATGACACAAAATACAGAGATTGTGGTAGGAAGTGAGGGAGTGGGGTGGTGGGGTGTTGCATGGACAAGTACAAAAGACTAGGATTTGAGGCGGGCTCAACAACAGAAAGCGCAAAATGTATTTCTAGAGAGAAAGAGAGAAGACCAGAGTTGGGGCCTTGGAACTGTAGGCAATGGTGGCGTGGAGTGGGATATCCAGGTTCAATATGTGACAACCTGACTTGTGAAATATGTGCGTGTGTATGTTTGTCAGTGTTAGTAGCATGGGACTGAGTTGAAGGGTGTGAGTGTGTGAGCTGTTGAAGTGTTTGTGTGTGTGTCAGTGTTGTGACTTGTATGCTAGTTGTGGAAGTACATGTGTGTCATTCTTGGTGGCATGCAGCTGAGCTAGTGAAGTATGTGTGTCAGTGTTGGTGACATGCAGCTGAGCTGGTGAAGTGTGCGTGTTAGTTTGGTACCATGGAGCTCAGCTGGTTATGTGTGTGTGTGTCAGTGTTGGTGAGGAAACCTTGGGGCTGAGCTGATGGTTTTTTGTGTGTCATTGTTGGTGACATGGAGCTGAGCTGGTGAAGTGTATCAGTGTTGGTAACATGGTGCTGAGCTGGTGAAGTATGTATGTACCATTGGTGGCATGGAGCTGAGCTGATTATGAGTGTGTGCATGTCAGTTTTGGTGAGGACATCATTGGGCTGAGCTGATGGA